ATACAGACCAGCTGTGCTGTCTCACTGTGGTTTTCAGTTATCTACTATGTTGAGCATCTTTTTGTATGTTTACTTGCCATCTGTAGATCGTCTTTGGTGAGATGTCTGTTCAGATCTGTGTGCATTTTTAATAGGGCTGTTTAACTTATTGTTTAGTTTTGAGAATTTTGTATGTATTTTGAATACAAATTCTTTCTCAGATCTGTATTTTGGAATTTTTTTTTTCAATATGTGGCTTGTCTTTTTGTTCCCTTAACAAGGTCTTTTCCAGAGTATAAACTTTAAATATTAAGAAATCCACATTGTCATTTCTTCTGTGTCTACCAACCTTTTGTGTCATTTGTTAAAATCCATTACCAAACCCAAAGTCACATAGCTTTTCTTCCATAGTTTCTTCTAGAAATTGTATAGTTTTGCATTTTTAGTGTAAGGATGATTTTGAGTGATTATTTGTGTAAGTTGTAAAGTTTTCATCTACATGCATATCATTTCCTATGGTTTCCCATTAATCGTTCCCTCACTATTTTTGGGAAAGACACAGGATAGTGGGCTTTGTTAGAGCAGATAGATGGCTAGACATGAACAGGAGGGGGAGCTCCTGGAAAAGGGAAAGTCCAGGAAGACTCACCTAGAGGGACCACCAAAAATTCACATATTAGTGGCATCTCTAATGCTGGAGTAGATGGGCACTTGTCAATTGTGGGTTGGAGGGAGAAGAGGTAGCTATGCAGAAACACCCTAGAACTCCTCTTAAGATGCCCCAGTCATCATTCACTCTGCAGTAATAATGTCACAATACTGCTAGTTACATGCTGATAAGGACAAAGGGGACATTCTTAAAAGAAACCTGGCACCATAAGTACAGATTAGGGCAGAGAAGGACATTCAAAAGAGATAGGTGCAGTAGGTACAAATGTGACCGCTGTCAGCCTGCCTGGGATGGTGGGAAGGAGCCTGTTTCCAGAGTGGGTTCGGATTGATCACCACACATGTGCCTCAACCAACAGTGAGGAGGTCCCACAAGCCTACTTGGGGCAAGTTGGGGACCTAAGGCAGTAGCAGGAAAATCAAAGAAAACAGGCAGAGACTGGAGACAAAGGCAGGAATGTAAAGAAGTCCAAAATAAAATTCCCTGCACAGGACTCTTGCTGCTTTCCTGCACAATCAGTCTACTGCTCCCTATTTTTCTACAATAAGCTCTTCACACTGTATTTTTTTCAATGAAGTTATCTGCCATCTTTGTATTGCCTCTTGGTGAAAATCCTTCTTCCAAGTTAGACAAGAACTGAGACATCAGCTCTCCCCAGTAATAGCTCCGTTTCAGTTTGAATTTCCAGAACTGATGGCGCTTAATAACTGGCGCTCCAACGTTAAGTGGTGCAGAAGGTGGCCAGTAGGGGGCGCCAGCCATCACACCTGGAGCAAGAGGGCCCTGCATAGTCCCCGTGTGCCTGCAGGTGTTGTGCTGCGACGACACTGCCAGCAAGAGGGCCCGGCAGTGTCCCCTGTTGCCAGCAGGGGGCGTACGACGAGTATACTGTGAACAAGAGGATCCTGCAGTGTCCTCAGCTGCCAGCAGGTGGCGCACGGGCACCACACCATGAGCAAGAGGACCCTGCAGTGTCCTGTCTGGCAGCAGGGGGCGTGCTGCCACTCCACTGTGAGCAAGAGGATCCTGTAGTGCCCCCAGCGGCCAGAAGGGGGCGTGCCCCCACTACAAGGCAAGCAAGAGGGCTTGGCACTGTCCCCAGCTGCCAGCTGCGGAGCCAGACCGCCACTTCAGTTGGAGCAAGAGGGCCGGGCAGTGTCCCCAGCTGCCAGCATCGGGACTGCTGCTACTATGCTGCCAGCATCGGGAGTGCTGCCACTACACTGTGACCCAGAGAGCCCTGCAACGTCCCCAACTGCCAGCAGGCGGCGGGCCATCACTATACTGCAAGCAAGAGGGCCCTGCAGGTCCCCGACGACAGCACGGAGCGCTGGCCACCACTGTAAGAAAGAGGCCCCTGCAGTTGCTCTAGTCAACAGCAGGGGGCGCACTGGCACAGCACCGTGAGCAAGAGGGCCCTGTAGTGCGCTGCTGCAAGCAGAGGGCACCCGAGCCCAGCTTTTCAGATTACTGATGTCCCGCCCCTCTCTGTGCTGCTCCCCCGGCGCGTGCGTCTCTGCGCCTGCACTGCGCCCCCTGAGGTCCACGCGGCGTGCGTCTGTGCGCCTGCGCCGCAACACCCTCCCCCCCGCACGCGGGCGTGCGACTCTGCCCCTGCGAGGTCCTGGCCTGCTACTCTGCGCCTGCGCCGCGCCGGCCTGCGATTCTGCGCCTGCGCCGGGCTGTGCCGAGCCCGCCGCGACTCTGTGCCAGCGCTGCTGCCGCCTACTACTCTGCGCCTGCCAGGTCTCGGCCTGCTACTCTGCGCCTGCGCCGCGCCCGGCGCGCGACTCTGCGCCTGCGCCGACCTGCGCCGCGCCAACGGGCGACTCTGTACCTGCGCCGCCCCGGCCTGCGACTCTGCGCCTGCGCCGGCCTGCTACTCTGCGCCTGCGAGGCGCCCGGCGCGCGACTCTGCGCCTGAGCCTGCGCTGGCCTGCGCCGCGCCAGCGTACGACTCTGCACCTGCGCCGCCCCGGCCTGCGACTCTGCGCCTGCGTCGCGACGGCTTGCGCCGCGCCGGCCAGCGACTCTGCGCCTGTGCCGGCCTGCGCTGAGCCGACGTACCAGCGACTCTGCGCCTGTGCCGGCCTGCGCTGAGCCGACGTACGACTCTGCGCCTGCGCCGGCCTGCGACTCTGCGCCTGCGACTCCGCGCCTGCGCCGGCCTGCGCCGCACCGGCGTACGACTCTGCGCCGGCCTGCGCCGCCCCGGCCTGCGACTCTGCGCCTGCGCCGCGACGGCTTGCGCCGCGCCGGCGTGCGACTCTGTGCCTGCGCCGGCCTGCGACGTGCCGGCCTGCGACTCTGCGCCTGAGCCCGCTCGCGCCGCGCCCGGCGCGCGACTCGCACCTTCGCCGCCCGAGCCTGCGACTCTGCATCTTCGCCGCCCGGGCCTGCGACTCTGCGCCTGCGCCGGCGCGCGACTCTGGGCCTGCGGCGCGCCGGCCTGCGACTCTGCGCCTGCGCCGACCTGCGCTGCGCCGCCCCGGCCTGCGACTCTGCGCCTGCGCGGCGCGGCGCTGTGCCTCTGCGAGGGCGGAGTTGTATTGTCCTCAGCACAGACCCGAAGAGCATGACGAGGGCGGAGGTGTGTTCTCCTTTGCGCAGACCTCGGGGGTACCGCGAAGGCGGAGCAGCTTTCTCCTCAGCCCAGGTCCGGACGTGGGGTGCACCGCGAGGGCGGAGCTGCGTTCTGCTCAGCACAGACCCGGGGTAAACCGGGAAGGCGGAGCAGCGTTCTCAGCCTCGCCTTGGGGCAACGAGGGGCAGCATCCACGGCGAATAAAATCCTTTCTATTTGTAGCCTAGAGTAATGAAGGTCAGAGACTAGTTAGGATGGTTCAGTGTGGAAAACGGGAAACCAAAAGCCGCTCTGAATCCTGGGCACCAAGGTTCTCACCACCCAGGGCTAGGCGTCCTCAGTGCGAGGTCTACACCGTGGCCCGGAACACATGCTGCATATGCAGACATGATACCCAAAATACGACACCCACAGTGCTCAGGTAACAAGTACCTGTAATGCTAATGCACTGCGTCAATAGAAAAGTTAATGTAAGATCTGTAATCCCCATACTGCCCTGGAGTGATAAGACAGCGATCTTAATAACACTGACATAGTCAATGCAAACGTAGCAAAGAACTACGTTACGGTTAGGGTGAGGATGAGGGTTTAGGGTTAGGGTTAGGGGTTAGGGTTAGGGTTGGGGTTAGGGTGGGGTTGGGGTCGGGGTTAGGGTCGGGGTTAGGGTTTAGGGTTAGGGGTTAGGGTTAGGGGTTGGGGTTTGGGGTTGGGGTTAGGGTGTTAGGGTTAGCGGTTGGGGTTAGGGGTTTGGGGTTGGGTTAGTGTTAGTGCTAGGGCTAGGGTTAAGGTTAGGGTTGGGTTTCGGTTAGGGTTCGGGTTAGGGTGTTAGGGTTAAGGTAGGGTTAGGGGTTGGGGTTAGGGGTTTGGGGTTGGGTTAGTGTTAGTGCTAGGGCTGGGGTTAAGGTTAGGGTTGGGTTTGGGTTAGGGTTCGGGTTCAGGTAAGGGTTAGGGCAAGGGTTAGGGTTAGGGGTTAGGGTTGGTGTTGGGGTTGGGGTTAGGGTTCGGGTTATGGTTCGGGTTAGGGTTGGGTTAGGGTTAGGGTTGGGTTAGGGTTAGGGGTTAGGGTTAGTGTCAGGGTCAGCTTCAGGTGTAGGGGTAGGGTTAGGGTTTGGGCTTGGGCTTAGGGTCAGGGTTTAGGGCTAGGTCGGTTAGGGTTAGGGTTAGGTTTAGGGTTGGTTAGGGTTAGGGTTATGGATTAGGTTAGGGTTAGGGTTAGGTTTAGGGTTTTATGATTAGGGTTAGTGTTAGGGGTTAGGGTTTGGGTTTGCGTTTGGGTTTTGGTTAGGGTTACGGTTAGGGGTGGGATAGGGCGTCATCCTTCAGCTCACCTGAGACAAATACCTATATGGTTGCTTCCTCTGCCCTGTGTAAAATGCAGCTTCACTGAGCTACACTAAGGTGTAAGTCACTATTCCTCTACCCCCACTCACAAATCAATTGTGTATTCACTGAAAGTCTTATGAAAGACTCAAAACAATGCAATCCTTTGTTTCTTGTCCACCTATAACCTGGAAGCCCCCTACCTTTGTGTTTTCCTGGCTTTCCAGATGGAACTCTGTCTCTGAAAAACGAACAAACAAACAAATGTGGTTTTGAGACATTTGCATGGGGGACTTCTTCTTGAAGGCCAGATGTCAGACCCTTGCCTGAGGCGGTGGTGGGGCCACCAAGGAGATGGTGGCCCTCATGCTGCCCCAGTGTCACTCCTACAGGCTCACCCCCAATCTGGCCTATGATGCAATGCGACTACAGAGAATTGGAACATACTCACTTTAGGTACTGCTGATACTCATGCGCATTCTTCCCATGAACATCATGAACGTTGACCAACTCCAGCGTAATGAGGAACAGGATCAGGCTGAGCACAGGGGACAGTAGTCTGATACTAGAAACAGATGAAAGTAAATTCAAACCTGAGGAACGTTGGTATTTTCCACCTTCATCAGGAAAAAGATGTTTCACCTCATCAACATCCTTAAGTCCCAACTTCTCAAAAAATAATTTTCCTAATCCTCAGAGCCCAATGCCTGCTTCCAGCCCCCAGGCCCGTAGCTGCTGGGAGTGCCCAGTGTAGCCCTTGCTCCCGGCCTATCCTGCACGTCCGCATTCCTTGCTCATCAGTCATCATCTGAGACTCTCAGACATCTGACGGTCTATGTCAGGGCTGCCAGGGGCTCTGCACACTCACAGGGCACCAGGCAGGCCCAGTCTGCGCCCAGCAGCTCCCCTGCTCCCTGCCCTCTGACATCTAGGGAGGGACTCTCACCAGAGGAAAACAAATGGCCTCAATATGAAAGCAGGCTCAATGCCACCAGATTAAAGAAATCCCAACTAAAGTAAGATCTTATTTTTCCCATGAATCTAGTTGAGACATTTAAAAATATTCTGGTTTTGGAGAGTGGTAATAAGAGAATGACCTTGTCTTATAAACTGCTGGTAAGAGTGTAAATTAAGTAGCACCCTTCTGGAGGGGAATCCAGTGATATCTATTTAAAGCTTTAAAAACACAGATACCACTCAACCCAAAAGTTCTAGAAATGTATCCAAAATGGTCATTTCTTAAGGATGTAGCACATTCTAAAATATACACTGTAAGTGAAGGAACCATAATGCTGTTAATCTGCTATTAAGTTAATCTGCTGTTATATTTTAAATCCAAATCCAGTTAATCTGCTGTTATACTTTAAATCCAAATATTCATTTAGGTAGATAGAACCCACATTTCCATCGGCCAAATTACAAACACTATTTAAAATAGTATGTACTATAACTTTCTATGAAAATCAGCATGGGGAGTCCTCACAGTCCTCAGATAACATCATTTCATTCAACACAGTTTCATCACAACATCAGTGAGAAAAGAAATCGATACACCGTGAGGGCCACTGTCTGTGTGGAGAAGCACGTTCTGCATGGGTTTTCTCCCATCCCCCAGTTTCCTCCCACATCCCAGAGCCGTGCACATTAGGTGAAATGGCACATCTCCATGGTCCCAGAGTGAGTGTGGGTGTGTGACTGGCCCTGCGAAGGAACCACGTCCTGTCCAGGGTGGGTCCTGCCTTGTACCCGGAGCTGCAGGGATAGGCTCCAGCCACCCACAACTCTGAACTGGAATGAACAGGTTGGAAAATGAATGAATGAATGACTGAATGAATACAAATTATAAGAACTTGTAAAGTCTGCCATCATCATACAAGTGCTCGACAGTGCGTGTCGGTACAAAAGTACTCCGTGACCCACACATTTGTTCCTGTTGGTGCTGGAGCTGTGGGTGGGGGGAAGGGAGCGGGCCTGGGGAGGTCTCGCTCTGCAAACATTTACTGCCTCATTTAACCACCACAGGACTGCCGGACTGCCGTCACTCACTGCCTCGCCAAACACTGAGTAGTTCTCACTTGTTTTTATTCATCTTTCTTAAATGTCCATAGAGCTCATATGTGCCTCAATGTTTAACACTGTAAGTGTTTTGGGTCTTTCTTTAGAAGTTTGGCAATATTTTTGTGACCAGAAACACGCTGTGGGAACTTAACTTTTGTTTCTACCGTGCAAGGAAAATAAATCTCAGTACCCCAAACTCACTAAGCCAAAGGGAAAAGTCAAGCTGGGAACTGCCTCAGGCAAACATGCCTCCCATTTTATTCCTAAATAAGGTGGCTACAAGAGAAAAAAGCTACATACAGACCTCCCTCACAGTTTGTCCACAAGGAAATGCCTCGTGGGCCTCAAGATCTCTACCCGGAAAGACTTCTGCTGAATTTCACCCTGGCAATGCAGTTGCCAGCTAATCTTCCCAGGCGTGGGACAGGGCGTCATCCCTCAGCTCAACTGAGACAAATACCTATATGATTGCTTCCTCTGCCCTGTGTAAAATGCAGCTTCGCTGAGCCACACTAAGGTGTAAGTCACTATTCCTCTACCCCCACTCACAAGTCAATTGTGTATTCACCGAAAGGCTTATGAAAAAGACTCAAAACAATGCAATCCTTTGTCTCTTGTCCACCTATAACCTGGAAGGCCCCCACCTTTGTGTTTTCCTGCCTTTCCAGATGGAACCAATGTACACCTTACACCTACTGACTGATGTCTTATGTCTCCTTAAAATGTACAAAAATGTATAAAAGCAAGTCGCACCCCAAGTACCTGAGGCACATGCTGTCAGGATCTCCTGAGGCTGTCACAGCACATCCTTAACCCTGGGAAAGTAAACTTTCTAAAAGGATTGAGACCTGTCTCAGATACGTTGGGTTCATACTATCAGTTGTGAACTCCAAGTATATCAACACTTGTCGATGGGTTCAGTGAGGGGCCTACTGTGTGTGTCTTCAGTGGGGACTGGAACTGCATCTGTGACAACTTCCTGCCCCACAGTGCCCCTCCAAAACAGGAAAGTGAGCGCACACCTACTCCACATACACAGGTAGTTCTGCCGCTGGCGAGACCGCAGCATCCTCTCCACCCATTGCCTGTGTCTCAGCTCCGAGGCAATGGTGACCTGGCCAGACACGTGGTGACACTGCTTGCTGACGCTTTGGAACACAACCAGCACTTCCAGCACAATCCTGGGGCAGAAGAGGGTAGGAAAGGGTGTGCTGCAGAGCTCATGGAGCAGCTGGGGCCACCTGCAAACAGAGCCAGACTCGGAGCAGGCATTGTGATCCTCACCTGTACCTCACTCTCCTTCTGTACCTGCAAGGCTGTGGCTTTCTGGGAGCCAGGGCTAGCTACGTATCACTGGTGTGTCTGCAGGGACAACCGTGACATGCGGCAAGTGTTAATTAAATACACTGAATTGTGGCAAACAGAATGTGACATTCACAGCCTCATCAGATGTGCCACGCTTGCACAGAGATTGTCAAAACTGATCTCATAATTCCTCTTGGAGTAGTAACAGTGGGATTCTAAGACTACTTTATAAAATCTAAAACATAGAAAATGTCTAAGTTTGCTATGCTAATCTGCATAATCAATGTTTCAACAGTTGTCAGGATGTCCTGGAACTTACATCTCAATAGGAAGATGATCCAAGTCCTTTAAAACACAACGATTCTCAGGCACATGGTGATACAGCTCATCCGTCATTTTTGTAATTAAAGAGTGGCTGGCATTTGTTTCAGAATTATCTTCTAATCTGAAAAATAGAAAATATTTAAAGATACATGACAATTAAAATGCCCACAATAGTGCCCATGCACAATAATGGTTAATGGTTCACTGAGCAGCAACCTGACTGTGAATCTTAGTTTCCCCAAATATAAAATGTAAAAAGCCACCATCACGGGACAGTGGAGAAAGAAACAATGCCCTATGCCAAAAGCAAAGTCCAATGATGACTGATGACGAGACGATGAACCACCTGCGTATTCCTCCTGCTGAACAAGTATGTCTGCTGTTGTCTATGATTCCAGAATGCATGCCTCCATCCCCACTTCTCTCCTGAGCTTCAGACCCATCTTTCTTTCTGCCTACTCAGTAGTTCTCATGGACGCCATTGTCTACCCACAAAACCTGCCTCTCGTTCCATGTTCAGTCTCCACCAGGGCCCCAGGCCAGCTGGAAGATCGCATTCAGCATCGCTTGCAGCTTCTCACAGCCACCAAGGCCCAGAAATTCCTCCTTCCCCTTTTATCTTCCAACAGCCTCGCTAAAGAAGAAGTGCTGCTGAAACTAACAGTACCAGACAAGCTTGATGTCAGCCAGGCCCCAGGATGCCACGTACCTGACTGCTTCCCAAGTGAGTTCTTTGGGGAAAGGCAGCAGAGCCCAAACCCTGATACTCTCCTCAAAGCTCAGCACCTGGGATGAAATGTTTTATTGACTTTGTAGATTTCACGGTAACTTCCTAGAAAATCTGTTTTTAGATTGTTATGGATGTTACATCACTCTCTAGAAAATACATATCTATAAAATTATTTCAAATTCGAAACATTTTAAAACCAGAGGGCGGGTGTCAGTTCTTCAGTACGGATGGGGGAAGGCTGGGGAAACTACCAGGGGATTGGTAGGGAGTGAACGTCTGGGGTGGCTATGACCGTATCCGCAGGTTCTTTCGACACCTGCCATTGAGAGGGAGGACCCCACCAAATCTGCATGAGCTCTGGCGACTGGCCTGGAACCAGCAGAACACAGCAGGTGTGAAGATGCTGCACATTATGCAAAGCCATGTCAGAGGCGCAGGTGCCTCTCCAGTTCAGGCTGTGCTCGGGGTGCAGCCGCTGTCACCTTGAGACTGTCCCTGCAGGACCCCCATGAGGCCTCTGGCCAACTTCCAGTCTTCTCAGACGCAACATCCACGAAGCCCTGGGAGACCACAGCTGTCCACACCCAGGCCAGGCCACAGGACAGATCCCTCGGCAGATGCTCCCCATTTCTAACCCACTAGCATATGAGCAAGTCAAACGGTGGCTGCTGACACCACGGAGCGTGAGTGGTCTCAACAGCAGGAATAACCGAAGCCCAGGATGCAAAGCTGCCTGAATACCTGTGAGGTGCTAGGAGGGGGACAGGAAGTGGTAAGGACCCAAATAGCCACCGTGGGGCGCAGGAGAGGATGGTCTGGAGCCTCAGGAGCTCTGGTTGGAAGACAAAGGCTGCCTTCTTGAAGCTCCTCTTCCTTTCTAAATCTTCCCTCCTCCCTACCTGCCCACCTCTACCTTCCTAAGGGCTTGTGCTTGGAAAGCACGGCCATCCCCACTGGTAAAGCTGGTCTGCGGCGCCAACGGGGAATGGCATCCGACCAGTGCAGCCCGATGCTCTGCCTCCAAGCCACACCTCCAGGAGGCTGTTTTCCCAACTTCACTGCTGACAACCCCCTTCTGACAGTATTTTCCTGAAGGCATTCTCAAGGAGGCCTCCGACTTCTCAAGGCACCATTTCTTTAAAGCACCTTTGCAAATCTCTCCTGACCCGCTGTATGTTGATTTTACAGCTTCCTTTTAGAGGTAGTCTCATTTAGGAATTTTCACCTGCACAGCTGTCACGATGCTTATATTCTTGGGGACTGTCTTTTTCATCCCCTTGCACTACCCTTGTATCCTCCCGTATGTAGAACAAAGCACCTTCGCTGATTGCCAAATTGGAACTTCCTGGCAGAAATGCTTAAAAAATTGTTTGTTTCAGTAAGTTAACAAAAGCTAGTCCGTGTAGGAGAAGAAAAACTGACATTACTCACCACTGACAAATAAAAACTGCTCCCAGCTCTGCGTTACTGCCTACAGCAATAAAAGCCTGCCAGGGGATTCAGCAAAAACACTTCCCAGTGCTCATCCATTTAACACTAAAAACCTCAGTGCCATCAGCACTGCATTACTTTCAACTGCGAGACATGGAACTTGAGGCTCAGAAGACTGAGCAACCAGGCCAGGGCCACAGCAAGCACCACGCTGGCTAGAAAGCTGGATCTGCCCAACTCAAAGTCTGACTCAGCAGGCAAACTGCACCCTTCCAGCATCTCTGCAAAAGACAGATGGTTTCAGAGACGTACACACCCCTCCCAGCACCCTGCATTCGGCATACCTGCTTTTTAGGCTGAAAAACCGGATGACAGCGAGAACTATAGCCTTCTTCAAGACTAATCAACAATTCTACTGCTGCTTTTTCCTAGTTTAGAGAAAACAGTGGCTACTATAGTGTTTGGGTAGACTTAGTTTTCTTCTATCGAACTGTAGGCCAATTAGAGTCCCCATTTCTCATTATCTTTCTTCAAACAATTTTTTGCAGCTAGAAAAGCAAACGCTTCACTAAAATAGGTTTCACATGGCAAGGAAATCACAGCCAATAAAATGATTTTAAATGGAGGCCATTAACAATAATAGATCACAAATGCCACACCCACCCTCTGTGCACAAAACTGGAGATGAATAAGAAAAAAAGGATTCCAAACAATTGGAAATTTAACTAGGAAATAGTTACTTAAACACTAAAAAACGATACAACTAAAAAAAAAATCACATAATCATTTAATTGCTAAGCACATACATATTTTTACAAACATAAAAATTACATGATTTGAAGCTGGTATAACCACATAACTTAAAAATCCAAGTCAGTCAACTGAAACCTATGAGAAACAAAGTCAGTGAATTGATAGTTGACAAATTAAAAAATCTGTAACTACCTACAATTCTTTTTTCCTTTCTTTTTTCTTTTTTTTTTGAGACAGAGTCTTACTCGTTTTGCCCAGGCTGGAGTGCACTGGTGCGATCTCAGCTCACTGCAACCTCTGCCTCCCAGGTTCAAGTGATTCTCCAGGTTCAGCCTCCCGAGTAGCTGGGATTACAGGCACCCACCACCACGTCTGGCTAATTTTTTTGTATTTTTATTAGAGACGGGGTTACACCACGTTTGGCCACACTGGTCTTGAACTCCTGACCTCAGGTGAACCACCTGCCTCGGCCTCCCAAAGTGCTGGGATTACAGGTGTTAGCCACTGCACCTGGCCCACTACCTACAATTCTTAAAAGCACAAAACAAACAACTCAAGTAGCTAGATGTTAACTACGGAAGAAATGTGCTGGCCTTCCCTTCACTCAGATGTGTGAGAGCTTGGAGTGCACCAGGGAGTGTGCTGGGCGGAACACGGGAGGCACACGCATGTGCCTGCACGGGTGATGTCCCCACAGGGCAGACACACACGCAGCATATGTGTGCCACTGCAGAGCAGCATATGTATCCCACTGCAGAATGGTGTATGTGTGCCACTGTAGAGCAGCCTACATATCCCACTGCAGAGCAGTGTATGTGTCACTGCAGAGCGGTGTACATATCCCACTGCAGAGCAGTGTACATATCCCACTGCAGAGGGAAGAGCAGTGTATGTGTGCCACTGCAGAGCAGCGTATATATCCCACTGCAGAGCAGTGTATGTGTGCCACTGCAGAGCAGTGTATGTGTGCCACTGCAGAGCAGCGTATATATCCCACTGCAGAGCAACGTATATATACCACTGCAGAGCAGTGTATATATCCCACTGCAGAGTGGTGTATGTGTGCCACTGCAGAGCAGCGTATATATCCTACTGCAGAGCAGCGTATGTGTGCCACTGTAGAGCACCTGGCTTCTGTTCCAAGATGTGAACCCATCTGAGGGCTTCTGAGGAGAGGATGACATGTTGGGGAAGGATCAGTCTGGCTGCTGTGTTATGACAAGGGGAAGGGCTTGCAGAAGTCGGTGGGCAGACCAGTCAGTGCCAGCGACATTCCAGGGAGGGACCAAGGCAGTATGGCCAGGTGGTGGCACAGGAGGGACAGGAAGAAGTAGATGTGGAACATATTTCTTTCTTTTTTTTCTTTTTTTGAGACGGAGTCTTGCTCTGTCATTCAGGCTGGAAAGCAGTGGCACAATCTCGGTTCACTATAACATCTGCCTTCCGTGTTCAAGCTATTCTCAGGACTACAGGCACCCACCACCATGCCCAGCTAGTTTTTGTATTTTTATTAGAGACAGGGTTTCACCATGTTGGCCAGGCTGGTCTCGAACTTTTGACCTCAGGTGATCCACCTGCCTTGACCTCCCAAAGTGCTGGGATTACAGGCATGAGCCACCGTGCCCGGACTGTGGAACATATTTCTAAAACCTGTTCCAAGGACGGAGTATGAAGAGAGGAGAGGAATCTGAGGCTTCCAACCTGAGCAGCCACCTGGGAGGCTGGAGGTGCCACGTAGATGGGAGGACTTGAGGAATGAAGATGGGGAGACACTGTGTCCCTGAATAAGCTTCACGATTGTGAAAAATGTCAATTATCCCTAACTCAATCCATGAGGTGTTCTTATTTGTTTTTGGGGTTTTATGTTTGTCCAAGTTTACACAGAATAATAACTATTAATTTTTTTTAAAGTAAAGCTAGACTCTGTACCTTACTCTCAAGATGAAATAAATTCCAGTTGGATCCAAAGACGTAAATGGAAAATAAAGAAAAAATAGGTAGGGCACGTTGGCTCATGCCTGTAATCCCAGCACTTTGGGAGGCTGAGGCGGGTGGAACATAAGGTCAGGAGTTCAAGACCAGTATGACCAACATGATGATACCCCACCTCTATTAAAAATACAAAAAAACTAGCCGGGCATGGTGGCAGGCACCTGTAATCCCAGCTACTCGGGAAGCTGAGGCAGAGAACTGCTCGAACCCAGGAGGCAGAGGTTGCAGTGAGCTGAGATTGTGCTACTGCACTCCAGCCTGGGTGACAGAGTGATACTTTGTCTCAAAAAAAAAAAAAAAAAAAAAGAAAAAATAGAAGTACCAGAGAAAATGTATACCTATATTTTTAATTTTGAAAAGCAAAGATTCTTTTCAGAATGACTCCAAATGTGAAGCCAGAGAAAAAAAAATCAAAACCTATGAACAAATAACAAAGTAATATGTATACAAATAAGGCTAATGAACCAGTGGGAAAAATGAAACTGAAATAAATGGAGAAAATACATTAATAGGCAATTAATGAAATAATTGTAAACATCTAGTAAACATAAAAAAAGAATGAAAATAAAAACATAATCTTGGCTGGATATGATGGCTCGCGCCTGTGGTCCCAGCTACTAGGGAGGCTGAGGCAAGAGGATGGCTTGAGCTCAGGAGGTCGAGGCTATCATAAGCCATGACCGCACCACTGCACTCTAGCCTGGGCGACAGAGCGAGACCCTGTCTCATAAAAAAAATAAATAAATAAAAGAAAAAAATTTAAAAAACCTTATTGATATCTTTTGTCTTAGAACTTTACTTTTTAAGAGTATTTACATAAGTGCCCAAATGAACAAAGATGTTCATTTCAGCATAATAATTAGGAATTTTCTACATCAGGAACATTACAACTCATCCATCAATGAAGGACTGCTTAGGTAAATAATAACATATTGATAAAATGGAATATCAAATAGCTGACAAAAAGAATAAGGCAGAACAAAGATGCCAAAAACACACTGTTAATGAAAAATGCTAGCTATAAAACACAACGTACCTTCCTACGAACTCACTTTGGTACACTCATAGCAAAAATGAGCAACACTACCTAATTATTAACAGTAGTTATTTCTGGGAGATGGAATTCTTGAGGGCTGTTACTTTTCACTTTAGTTTTTCTATTTCTAGTAATTTTTCTTTGAACATTTAAACATTTTAAAAATAACTGTCAAATGTATAATCTGAAAAAAAGCTTAAAATGTCAATAACAAATATTCTAACCTAAATTATTTACTTTGAAATAATAAAAGAATTAGTTTATTGATGATGCAAATATCCTACCCCATCGATGCAGCAAAAGTCTGTAAAAATTTCCTAATATTTGGTTAATCCTGTTTTATAATTTGCTCTTTGATTTTCAACACTTAGCTGTTGTTGCATACAAAAACAAATGTGTTTTTAAGAAACAAGTTAAATTATTTTAGCTAAGATTAATATTGATTGATCTGTGAGAGAGAATATAAACTTATGTGTAATCCAGTCACTTTTTTTTCTGATGGAGGATACTGTAACTCAGATATACTAAAAGATGATTAATAGTTAATTACATTTGAAAAATAAACTATATCCTTTCATAGCTGAATGAGTTAATCTAATTAATGATTTTCTTCTCTGTAAATTACCTTAAAAACTGATAGTAGACCTTCATCAACAGATCTGAGTAACAGTACAACAGAAAATGCAAGCAACTGATTAGTTGTTTCTTTTGAAAAATTCATGTAAGTTGATCTCCCCGTGGCTTAAATGATCTCTTATGCGGGAACCCTCCTGATGGTTCAGGAAATCCCAGAGAAATTCCGTTCAGAAATTAAACACAGAAAATGTTTTGTTAGTATCCGCAGCAGAGAGCCGTGCCTGGTGTTGCTAACAGAAGGAAAGAGTGAATCCATCAAGTCCTCTGAAGCCCTGGGTGGGACCCTGCTAGGGAGAGCTGTTCTCCTACACCCACGGGACAGAAAAGGGAGCTAGAGAGACTGTGGGGAAGGCAGAGCTGCCTAGGTGGTACTGGAGTCTCATCAAATTGCAGTCTTTCTTGTTTTCACAAGGGGTGCCTCACAATATCGCAGTTGGTTGTACACCCCCTGCAGTACAAAGAATAATATTCTCTTCTCTTCCTTTAGCTCTTGAGAACAATATCACATGGCGGGAGACACACCCTGCACTATTGGAAGTAATATCATTCTCTCTTATTCTGGATAGTAGGAACAATATCTCAGGCGGGATGGACAACCCCTGTGATATTGAGAGTAATATCATCCTCTCCCAACGAAGATATTAGGAACCATATCAAAGGGGGCGTGTACACTTCTTCGATATTGGTAGCGATATCATCCTTTCCTCCCTGGGTATAGGAAACAATGTGACAGGCGGGGTGGACACCCCCCACGTCTTGGGGAGTAATTTCCCTCCCTGGATATTAGGATCCACGGTGGACACACAGCGTGTTTACGATTCTGAGAGTAATATCATCTCCCCCTCTAGACATTACGAACAGTATCAAAGACGGGTGTACACCCTCTGCAATATAGGGAGGAATATCATCCTCTCCCCGCCTGGATATTAGGAACAATATCAAAGGAATGTTTATGACCCCTGCGATATTGGGAGTAATATCATCCTCTCCCAGGTGGAAATTAGGAACAGCATCACCGGGGGCGTGTACACCCCTGCGATATTGAAAGTTGTATCATCCTCTCCCCTCTTGGATCATGGGAACAACATCCCTGGGGGGTGTACACTTTCTGCGATATTGGGAGTAACATCATCTTCTGTGCCTTGGAATATTCAGGATAATATCACAGGGGGAGGGGGCATGTACATCTTCTGCAATATTGGGAATATTATCCTCTCTACCCCTGCAAATTCGGAAAGATATCACAGAGTGGGTGTTCACCTCCTGCAATATGGGGATTAATACCATCTTCTCCCCTTTGGGATATCAGCAAGACTATCACACAGGGGTGTACAGTGTCTGCAATACTGGGAGTAATATCAGCCTCTCAGCCTTGAGATATTGAGAAGAATGTCACAGGGTGGATGTACATCCCCTGCCATATTTGGAGTAATATCAACCACTCCCCTCCATGGATATTTGGAACAATACCCCAGGCTGGGTGTACGCCTCCTGCTCAACGGGGAGTAATATCATCCTCTCCCTCCCAGGATATTAATTACAATATCATTGGGCGGGTGAACACAGCCTGCAAATTATTATCATCCTCTCCCCCTCCGGATACTAGGAACAATATCGCAGAAGAGCTGTACCCTGCCTGTGATATTGGGAGTAATATAATACACACTTTCCATGAATATTAGGAGCAGTATCACTGGGTGGCTGTCCATTCATTGCTATGTTTGGAGTCATGTCATACTCTACCCCCGTTTATATTAGGATCAGTGTCACGCGGTGAGTGTACACCTACTGCGATATTAAAAGTAAAATCATGCTCTCCGTCCCTGGATATTAGGAACAGCATCACAGGTAGGTGTACACCCCCTGCGGTATTAGGAGTAATAATATAATTAATTATTAAACATCAATGATCGATTTTAATAATTATCAATGATATTATTAATAGGAATCCATTTATTAATTATGGATAATTATTTTAAATATATGATTATGCACACTTTAAATTAATTATTAACATTAATCACGTTTAACAATATTATTAGTTCTTAATATTAATTATTACTTTATTACCGGCATCACTTAGTATTGATTTAAGTAACATTAATTGCTGATATCATTATTTTATTATTAACAGTGATATTACTATTAATTATTAATACTAATCATTAACATTTTTAACCAGTATTAATTTTTACTATCTTTATTGTGATTATTAACATTGATGATTACTCTTAATTTTTCTTATGTTTATTAATATTAATAATTAATAGACTTGTTCCTGATATCCGGCGGGGAGAGGATATTACTCCCAATATTGAAGAAAGTGTACACCCCTCTATGATGTTATTCCTAATAGCCAGGGGGTAGAGGATGACATTATTGAAACTATCGCAGTGGGTGTACAACCCTTCGGTCATCTCGTTCCTTATATCCTGGGTGGGAGAGGATGATACGACTCCAAATATTGCAGGGGGCGTAGACCTCCCCCGTGATACTGTCCCTAACATCCAAAGGTGGAAAGGATGACATTTCTTCCGATTTCGCAGGGGGTGTACACCACCCCTGTGATATGGTTCCTAATATCCAGGAGGCGAGAGGATGATATTAGTTTCAATATTGCAGGAGGTGTACACTCCCCAGTGATATTGTTCTTAATATCCAGGGATGGAGAGGACTATATCACTCCCAATAGAGCAGGGGGTGTACACCCCTTCTGTGACATTGTTCCTAATAGCCAGCAGGGGAGAGGAAGATATTACCCCCAATATCACAAGGGGGTGTATACCTTATATCCTGGAAGGGAGACGATGATATTAGTGGCAATATTGCAGGGGATGTACACACCCACTGTGATATTGTTCCGAATATCCAGAGAAAGAGAAAATGATATGACTCCCAATATCACAGGAGGTGTACATCCTCCTGTGATATTGTTTCTTATATTCAGGGGGAGAGGATGATATTACTCTCAATATCACAGGGGTTGTACACACCTCCTGCGGTATTGTTCTTAATATCCCAAAGGGGAGAGCATAATATTACTCTCAATATGGCAGGGTGTGTACACCTCCTTTGTAATATTGTTCTGAATATCCATGATGGGAGAGGATAGGACTCCCAATATCACAAGAAGTGTACAACCGAGGCTGGGCGCAGTGGCTCAAGCCTGTAATCCCAGCACTTTGGGAGGCCAAGATGGGCGTATCACGAGGTCAGGAGATCGAGACCATCCTGGCTAACACGGTGAAACCGCGTCTCTAATAAAAAATACAAAAAACTAGCTGGGCGGGGTGGCGGGCGCCTGTAGTCCCAGCTACTCGGGAGGCTGAGGCAGGAGAATGGCATAAACCCAGGAGGCGGAGCTTGCAGTGAGCTGAGATCCGGCCCCTGCACTGCAGCCTGGGCAACAGAGCTAGACTCTGTTTCAAAAAAAAAAAAAAAAAAAAAAAAAAAAAAAAAAAAGAAGTGTACAGCCGCCTGTGATATAGTTCCTAACATCTAGGTGGGGAGAGGATGATATTACTGCCCATATCACACGAGTTGTAAAACCACTTCAATATTTTGCCTACAATCCTGAGGAGAGAGGATGATATTACTCCCAATATCGAAGAAGGCTTACACCCCCCTGTGACACTATGCCCAATATCCACGTTGGAAGATGAAGACATTACACCCAATATTGCAGGGGATGTACACTCACCTTGGGATATTGTTCCTTATATCGAGAGGGGGAGCAGATGCTATTGCTCCCAATAAAACAGGGGCTGTGGAGGTACACCCCTCCTGTGATATTATTCTTAATATCCTAGGGAAGAGAGGAGGATACTACACCCAATATCACAGTGTGTACACCCACCCAGTGATAATGTTCTTAATGTACTCCACCTCCCACCACCAGGGATATCAGTCCTAACATCTAGGGGAAGAGAGGATAACATTATGCCCAATATCGCAGGGGAGTGTACACACCCTCTGTGATGCTGTTCCTAGTATCCAAAGGTAGAGACGATGATATTACTGGCCATATCGCAGGGGGTGTATACCCTTCTATGATACTGTTTTTGACATTCAGTAGGGGAGAGGACAACATTAATCCCAATATCGCAGAAAGTGTACAGACCCCTGTGATGTAGACCCTAATGTACAGGGGAAAGAGAAGAATATTGCTCTCAATATCACAGGGGCTGTAACCACACTGCCCCCGTATATTGTTCCTAATATGCAGCGGGGTGGAGGCTCATAGTACTCCTAATATCCGAGAAGGTGCACACACACCTGTGATAGAGTTCCTAATATCCAGCGGGAAAGAGGCTGATTTTACTTTCGATATTGCAGTGAGTGTGCACCGCCCCCAAACCCGGGGTATCGTTCCTAATATCCAGGCGGGAAGAAGATGACATGGCTGACAATATCGAAGTGGGTGGACACTTCTTCAGTGATACGGTTCCTGATATCCAGGAGGTGAGTGGATATTATTCCCAATAAAGTAGGAACCGTTCAGTCACCCTGGGATTTTGTCCTTAATAACCACAAGGGAGAGGTGATATTACTACCAATATTGCAAGGGGTGTACACCCCTCCTGTGATATTGTTTCTTATATCCAGGAAAGGAGAAGATGGTATTAGTACCAATATTGAAGGGATGGACAGCCCCCATGGGATATTATTCTAAAGATGCAGGTTGAAAGAGGATGAGACTCCCTTCAATACAACAAGGGGTGTACACCCTGCCTGTGATATGAATCCGAAAACCTAGAAGAAGAGAGAATGACATTGCTTCCAAAAACACACAGGGTGTACACCCACCCTGTGATATTGTTCCTGTCATCTAAAGGAAGAGATGATGATACTACTCCCACTACTGGAGAAGGTACACACCCCCCTGTGATATTGTTCCTCATAACTTGGGGGGAGAGCATGATATTACTTCCAGTATGACAGTGGCTTCACACCCAGTCTGTGATATTGCTCCTAATTTCCAGTAGGTAAAGTATGATGTTCCTG